GCTAAACTACAGTCACTTTTTTGTTGTTAAAGAGCAGGTGCAATAAAAAGACAGCTAAGTATTAGCAATTGACCCTTGAAGTAATCCATCAGCTTAAACTCCAGGAATAGTTACCAGTTGTCTTCTTTCCAGAATACAGTGGGGTGATGATGTGCTAATTTCTTTAATGATTACACATACAAATTCTTACTTATCTGTGTGGTTATAATTGAGAGAGAAATTCTGAAAGTGGGCACTGATTATCAGAGCAGAGTAACATTTTTTTAAAAGTGTGTGTGTGTGTGTGTGTACGCACACGCACATGTGTGTGTTTTGGATAATAACATTTTGCAGTTGAACTTTGGAGTCACTCATAAAAATAAATCAGAATTATTGATATATAAAATGATCAGATGAAATTTTTGGATTCAGGGCTTGTGCTTGGAGAACCAATTCCTTCCTTTCTACCTCTGTCTTGATCTTCTCAGATTCTAAGTCAAATCTCACCTCTTCCAATGAAGGCCATGGGCAACTTCTACAGCATTTATCTCCTTCACAAGTTCACACTCAAGATTTAGGATTGTTTCCTAGGGTTCATGTGTGATTCTTCTCTGTATCCCTCATAGTGCCTATCCATAGTCAACTCTGTCAAAATGTGTGGGTTGAATGATAGTGTCATTAAGACTCTGGCAAGATCAGATCAAAGCCTGCAGAGTTTCAACAGAGTCATTTCTTGATATTTTATAGTTTGTCCTACTTCAAGGAGATTTTGTCGCTCTTATTTCAAATTGGATATTACTCATTTTGGTGAATGAAACAAAAGCTAATGCTTGCCACTTATTTGAATCTATTTATTGCACATTTGAATTATCTGACAAACAATGCCTGAGAAAGTTAATTCATATCAAAATTAGTTTTTAGATTTTATTTGAAATTTAATAACAACAACACATAATTTTTCCCCAATAAGTCTGTTATAGGTCCAGTTTGCTTAATGATTTTTTATTGTGTTCTGTTTTGCAGTACTAGAGATTCAACCCAGGGGTGCTTAATCTCTGATCTACATCTGCAGCCCTTTTTATTTTTTTATTTTGAGATAGCTAACTAACTTGCTGAGGCAAGCTTTGAACTTGCCATCCTCCTGCCTCAGCATCCAACTTGATTAACTTTTAAAAAGTACTTCAGTTTTCTTAAAAGAAAATTATTTTGATATTCAGAATAATTTATCAGTAACTTTAATATAATATTGTGCTAAGGTCATAAGAATAAATGTGACATTCTTTTAATAGGCCCAGAATTTTAAATGCATTTGAATCTGGTGCTGTATTCGTCACCATGCTGGGGATCAAACTCAGGGTCTGATATGTGCTAGACAAGTGCTCTACCACTGAGCTATCCTCCCAGTCCCTCTGTGCTATATTTTAACTGTAGAGGGCTAGGTTACATTATGTAGGATAGCAATGAGTGTAACCTGGCAATGTCTTCATAGAAATTAGAATTGTCTTCATGCTATTAAAAATAATAATTTTCTGAGAATGCAAAATGGAACTAAATTTACCAGTGTTTTTCAAGATTGCCTCAAAAGCACTATTCATTTGGGAAAATATATTTGGGAAGTAGGCATCCTCCCAATATTGTTTCATGGCATAGAACATTTTTTTCCCCTGTTTATTTATTTTTCCTCTTATTTTGAAAGTCAAGCACTTGGTAAGTCACCTTGGACAAATGGAAACGATTTATTAATTTGTCATTTGCCTAAACTAAAAATATCTTAATGAATAAAAAGATGTCCATCAGACATATATTCCTTTCTAGTAAAGCTAGCAATTCCAGACATTAGTGGACTGTCTTTGGCCATCTTGGTCTCCTGTAGGTTTGGCTGGGGAGGAGCAGGTGTGAGCTTCCAAAGTGTCTTTCCATGTGTCTCAGTGGGGCTCCCCTCCCATGCCTCCACAGGAGACAGCTCATCTGTTTAATCCTTATGTTTTAGTCAACCTTTGTTATTATGCAGACAGGGCTCCGAGGCTCAGCTGGATTTTGACTCTCCGAATGAATTGATGGGGTTCTTTGATCTTAACTGTGTATTGCATCTGTTTCATCTTTCTTCTTAATGCATAGTCTTCCAAACTCCAATTCTAGCTGGTGCTCCTAAAAGAAATTAATAATCACACAAACAAATAAAACTTGCCGGTGTAAAATTCAAGCACAAAACCCAATTCCTTGATTGAACTTTCTTTGTTTGGCATGATAAAATTTCCTTGAAAAATCCCCAAAGCAATTGAATTACATTGCTCTGAAAGAGACCATCCAACTTGAGAGTGTGTTACTATGTGCCTGTGAATGTATATGTGCATTTCATAGGGTAGGGTCAGCTTTGCAAAGAAAATGGTAACAGTTGATCATTTCAACTTAGTGAATTACATAATAGCCTGATATTTTTAATAGACTGCATTGCAGGAAAAGGCATAAAACCTACTTATAAAATCTACCACAAAAATATAAAGAGCAATATTCATCTTTTTGGTGGGAATGAAGATACCTGCACTGCAGAGAAAAATCAGTTTAAATCAGAACAAATTATATGGAGAAATCAGTCTAGGACATAGTATGCTACAATATTATTGTTTTTCAAGACATATCTTTAAAATGATATGTGTATGTTCATGTGTGAACTAAAAGTGGAAAAATTGAGAAAACAGTATGGACTGTTTGCCCACATGAAAGAATACAGAGTTACTGTAAATTGAGCCAGAAAAGATCAAGTTTTTATTTGATTAACCTTTGATATTCTAATCTAGTGTTTTGGAGACTTGGATTATTTTATGTTTACTTTCAATCTCCAAGAATCATTTATGTTCAAGTATAACATGTTCTGGTGATGGTCACATTAACGTCAAAGCTATCAGAATAATTTCAGCTGAGCAGGAAACTGATGCTTCCTAGGAGCCACAGGTCCTTGAGGGAGTTACACAAAAGTTCCTCTCTGAGAGCAGGAAGATGCTGTGTGACCATCTAGTACACTTAACATACACTCTAACCCAACATATTTAGGCTGAATATACTAATAATGGTTAGTGAATTGTCAAAATACACATTTTTCTTAGGCTCATTTAGAAATAGAACATATAAAGAATTTTATTCCTCAAAGAACTCTATAATATTGCAGTTTTAAAAATACTTACCTAACTTTTTTCTACTTAAAAGTATCTCCCAAGCCCCCGCATGGTACTCCACTCTGAACTAGGAAGATTTTTATCACTATTTTTGAGGTTTCCATATGGAATCTGAGAATAACTGCAGGAAGGAAATGTGAAAGGTTGCCCAATCCCTCTTTGGGCAGAACTACTCTGAGAACCACTAAAGATAGCTTTACTCCTCTATGTCCACTTTATTCCTCTTTATTCTCCTCTCTGGAATGTAGTTTTGCTTACTTACTTATTCTGCCAATCAATGCTTCAATTTGAGAGAAAAGATCAAAGATGAGTGGTTTCAATGTACTTCATTTAATTTCCCTGACCTTATTTGCTTTCTCTCACACATGGTGGATGTGTTTCTTCTATAAAAATGAAAACCATAATGCTTACACTCTTAGCCTATAAGACTCTGTGCTGCTTGAACTTCTGAAAGTCATGATATAGGCTTTCCCACATGGACGGGTCAATGAAAGCTTAGACCTCTGATTTTGTATCTGTGCTTTCTTGTGACTTGCCCATCTCCAAATTTCTAGTCTGAGTAGAATAACACCTATTTGGTCCATTGATATAATTCTCATGTACATGCAGCTTACAGCATGAGAATTTATTTAAAAGATGATAAATTGCTTTCTGCACATTTTTTTTGTGTTCATCAATTCCTACCTAATTCATTCTTAACTTGCTTTCTTATTCTTTCCTCATAGTAATTGGGTGATTAAATTCATTTCCATCATTCTACCTAAATGTGAAGGTTGATTTTCTAATGTTTATCTCCAGAGAAGGAACAGAAGAAAACATTTATGGGTTGCATTGGTGGAAATGATCATTTCTAGTTAGTCCCTGCCACTAAAATGTGCTGGCTCAGGATCATTCACCATTCCTTTTGATCTATGGCTGTCACATTGAGAACCTGAACATTTTATACCCACAAACTTTCAGAGAACCAGCATCCATTCCCAGAATTTGCCCAGGAATGTGTTATTTCAAAACCAGAAGTTTGAGTGATCAATTTGTAAATCACAAAATCAACTTAGCAGATAGATCATGACCAGCACTTGAAGGAGGAGGAGCAGGAGGAGGAGGAGGAGGAGGAGGAGGAGGAGGAGGAAAAAATTAGAAATTTTAGAATGCACTGTATGTAGTGAGGCTTAGTATTATTTCATGAATACATTTTTCTCAAATAGATTTGGAGTGTGTGTGGTACTTGGTCATGCTGTAAATGTTTTCTTATCATGGATTTCAGTGGGTAAAAAAAGCCAGAAAAACAAAATGAAAACAAAGCATTGAGTTAAACCATATACCCTCCAGTAAGCTTTTGCCTGATGTTGGGCTTTTGAATTTAGAGTATTATTTTCCTATATTCAAATTCTATTATTTTTTCAACAATTAACCTCAAGCAAATCAAGGGAATTAGCTCATGGCAATGGAAATAATTATGAAAGCTTAGCAAATGCTTCCAGAATTATTAGGAGCTAGGCTGTACCAGCTTACTGAAGGTACAATGCTCTTACTGATTAAACCTTTAGCTTTAGGTAGCTCTGTAAGAAACAGACATGAATATTTAGTTGCATAAGAGAAGCGCACAGTTCACAGGAAAAAGGATTTTGTTAATACCTTATTTTGTTTTAGGGCCAAACAGAGTGAATATAAACTATGACTGTAAACTTGTGTTATGACAAGAAAGAAAATAACAGCTTTTATTCTTTTAAAGTATCTCCAGGTTCAAATCATTGCATGTTCACTTTTAAAACACTTTTGTGAATGTGATCCTTCTTTTTATTAAAAATTACATAATTATTTGTTTTTCTTTTCTTTTGTATCTACCAGGAGTTAACACAGGGAAGAAATTGTACCCTGATTGCATATTCACATTTTATCTCAGGACTGAGAAATGTTAAATGTTGTTCAACTCTTCAAGGTAAGTAATAGAGAGAAAAAATTATAATTTTTTTATATATAAGTATATGGTTTAATATTCGTTGCTCTCATTACTGGGCATGTCATTCTTACTCTCCGTAATGTCCGTGGTGGGATACAACCTCGGTACTTCATCACCCACAGCAGTAGTGTCACATGCAAGCTTGGCAGAAATAAAGAATATCAAGCTCCCGCCCAGCCCAGCCTTACTGAATCAAAATCTGCATTTTAACAAGATCCCCTGGTTTTTACATAATCATTAAAGCCTGAGAATTGCTGGTATATAAGATAAGGATAGCCAATTGCTATATGGACCTGTGTGCATTTCATGGATAACATTTGCTCAGGAAAAGAAAAATTAATAAATGGAAAGAACCAGCAGTTTTTCATACTCTGCAGCTGTGACTGACCAACTAATAGTGTCTGGAATTAATGATGATGACAGTGACGCTGCTGCCCACGAGAACACCTGTTTGTTACCTCGTGTTTCCCAAAGTGTACCATTTAGTCAACAGCTAAGGCATTTAACCTTCATCTTTCCCTTATAAGTTTACGCTATTTTACAGACAAAGCAACAGGTTGCCTAAACTCCTTACCCCCTGGTAAATCCAGGCATTTTGAGATCATGCCCAAGTCTGTGATTAGTAACTGCAACTTCCAAAATTAGGAAAGACTATTTCAAATGGGAAGAGAAAATGTAACCCTTGAAAGATTTCTATGAAGATATCAGTTGACATTTGTTTACATAGTATTTGCAATGAGCAATAAGTTGTCAAAATTTGCACATTTGAAAAGACAAGTAATGCCCTAAGTTTTAAGCCCACATCAGACTTTCAGCTTTTCAACTCACAATTTAATATGTATGTGGAGTATGTGCTGTGTGACATCATTGGTCCGATTAGAAGCCCGTCATCAGGACATCCTGTTGGCTTCTGGAGGACTTAATTCCCTTTCTCTGAGGACAAATATTTGGACATTTGTAACATGAGAAAGGACTCCTTACTTGAGATGACTCTAGAATTGCACGGAACATAGGAATGCAGTTTCTCTCTTGCACTGAATCAAATCCTTTTTAAGGAAGCCACCTTTGAAAAAGAAGATGCTGCAGGCATATCAATATTTTGACATTTACTGGAGGAGGAAAATGAACTCATGCAACAAATGGTATTGAAAGTAGTATTGAAACGAGAATAGAAAGGAAAAGGTAGTTATGAGGTATTATGGTATAGAAAAACAGTACCGTGTGCATAGCTGACCATCTGGACAGACACCAGCTGGTGAATCGTTCCCATCAGTATGGGAAAGTGGAGAGTTTCTGGAGCTTTTTATAAAAGACCGAAATAGACTGCAAATTCGAGTAGGGGGAATGATTTATTTTTAAGTTGTAAAATTTGCTAATGTTGTATTATTTATATGACTGTAAAGTTTATACTGTAAAGAATAGTTCTCTTTCCCCTCCTGTTCCCTCGGCCCAAATTTTCCTACTAAAGCAAGCATTGTGAGTGGTTCCTTAGGTATTTTTTAGAGATTTTTCTCTAAATATACAAACATTATGTACAAAATCCTTATTGAACAGAAGGATAATTCACTGTACATGTGATTCTGCCATTCTTCTTTTCCTTAAAATATATCCTATAAATTACTTCATATCAATATTTCTGGTCCACTCATGTAAATGATCGTATGGCGTTCCATAGTATGGATATAATACACCTTATTGAATCAGTTACCTTAGATGGCTTTTTTAGATTATTTTCAATCATTTACTGTTAAGTAGTGCTGCAGCTAGGATCCTTGTCCATATATTATGCTGCAGCATCAGATTCTAGTGCTCCTCTGGTAGTGACAGAGCATATATTAGATACCTACTATGCGCTAAGCACTGACATGTGTTATGCATGATCTTCATAACAGTGTTACACGATGTTGATGATAACAGTCCTAATGAGGTTTAATAACTTGCCCCAAGTCTCAGAGTTAATAAGACAGGAGCTGTGCAAGGAATGGAGGCAGAATGTCTGACTCCTGAGACCAAGACACAACAGAGAAGGGAATAGCAGGCATTCAGTTCTTCATCTCGCAGGCTAGAGTCTGAAATTAATACACATATGAGACTTAATTAAACATATTCAAGTGATCAGAGGGAAAGGAAGGACTGTCATAAGAGCCAATGAAAGAAAGTTTATGGCATCATCTGCAGCAGAGATTCAGGCTTCATGGTTTGTCTGGATCCCAAATGATTCTTCTCCAGGGAGAGGGTTATGAAATCCAGATTGCCTTGTCCTCACCGACTGCTTCAACCTTTAAAGTAGTCCACACTTACGCATTGCATTTATGTTATCCACACCCAATTCTGATGTGTGGCAACTTGTGTACCCTGGAGGAAAAGCATTCTTAGGTGACAGTTCTGAATTGGGCTTTGTGGCCACAGGAAGCAGAAATTAGCAAGTGCCCACACTGGAAAACAAGGATAAGAATGCCCAAATAAGAACACTTGAGATTTCTCAGATGATGCCAATTTCTCTAGGTTCATTCTCCTATCATAATCTCCATGTGCTGACAGCTCCACATCTTTATAGTCATTAAAGTGGCCATAGAGAAGTCAACATGGGAAGCTTCTTTATAAGACCTGTCTTAAAAAATTAAAAAAGTCTTATAAGTCTCATACAGATTATAATTTGCAATTGAGGTTTCATTATCTTTTGTTTATTCTTATTGCTGTTGTTATTTTACAAACCAGTTTTGCCATCTAGATCATTTCAATGCCTGGTCTTTGGGTTTTGAAACACTGAGTTTTCTTTGTTTCAAAATACTTCATTTAATTCAGTGACTTTTTGGCTATTTGATAGAAAAATAAAGACATGTCAGAGTTATTGATATGGTAATTATTATAAAAGTAATAACTAAGCTATATAATGAGTGTTTACCATAAGTCAGGAAATATGCAAAGGATTATATATGCATTATTTGGCTTAATACCAAATTCCTCTAGAGTAGGTATCACTATTGTTTTTCCCATTTTGTAGCTGGAGTATATACTCTACTGTTTGAGACTGATAATCGTACATGCTGTGGGCAGCTCTCTCTATTAGTGAGTCTTATTTTTATGTATTCAACCAATGGCAGGTTGAAAATATCCAGGAAAAAATTATATGGAGACAGAACAGATACAGACATTTTTCTTATTATTATTCAACTAAAGTATAACAACTTCACATAATAGGTATGTTGTAATCTAGATATGATTCAAAGTACATAGGAGGATGTGTATACATTCTGTGCAAACACCGTGTCATGTTAAATAAGGAACAAGAGCATCCTTTAGAGTTGACATCCAAGGGGATCCTGGAACCTTCCATGAATACTGAGGTACAACTGTACATCTAATTATGATGTTCAAATGTACTCAATAATCAATATATGAACATTTTGTATTTTGGTTTTTTTCATTCAGTATATTGATTTTTTTTTCAATCTTCCTCATTATCATATAACAGCTGCCTACAATTGCCAAAGTTTATTTATTTATTTGGGGACATTAAATTCTTCCTATTTTCTTTCATAGATTCTACTGCAATGAAAAACCTTGCGTATGCAGTATATATTACTCTCTTTGAATTTTCTAGGAGAAAGTATTTTCAGTCAGAGTAAAGATTTTTTTGACTCATTTAAACTTCCTGAGCTACAATCATTTTCATTGGGACATTATTGAAACCTTTAATTTGAGTTATTGAGAAATGTCCTTTTTAACATTTTTTTCTTTTCTGGGAATGGTCTTTCTAGTATTTTAAAGATATACTTTTGAATAAATATTACATAAATAATTACTATGTTGTGAACAATACCTAAAGAATGAATATTTGCATTACTTAATTTTAAGGGGAGGTAAATTGGGCTTTGAGGAGGATGGTGTGTTTAATATGTGTTTGGGTATTCATATATATTTCTTGAGTAACTACTATGTACCTGGCCCCGTGGCAGTTGCCAAAACTGTGAGAGCTAACGTAATAGAAACAGCTCATTCCCAAATAGAGCTTTACTAAAAGTCACAAAGATTGTTTGTCTTTGATATTGTGCCAAAATGTACTAATATCCTCTGACATTTCCAGCTTCTTTGTTGTTTTGGAATATGGAATATGACTCATTTTTTAACATCAGCCCCAGAGGGTGAAGGATAAAGAGTGTCTTATTCTCACAAAGATACCTAGATCAGTATAGATACGAATTAAAATTTCTTAGAATTCCCGAATCCATATTTTCCCATCTCATCCAATTCTGGTGAGATTTTAGAAACCCTTTTTTTTTCTTGACAGAATGGAAGCATCCTCTTATTTGTATTGCACAAGCCTAGCTTATATCTAAAAATATTTATGAATTTATCTTCTCAGGTCTTTAGGCTAAATAAACCAAGGTGGGGACTTAGAACCTTCTGTTACAGAAATGTCCTCATGTGGAAAAGGGATGGGCAGAGACAACTTTATAAGTCCAAATATTGCTTCCTGGGGTTGACTTAAGGCTACCCAGCCAGGAAGGTGGATTCTCCAGGTAGAAAAGAAAATAGAAGTGCACCTGAAAAATGAACTCAGATTTTTTTTTTTTATGCCCTTCTTAATTTCTAGAATCTCCTAGCCCTAACATTGGGGTTGAAGTTCTCCCTGCTACAACTTTGCGTATACTCTCTTGCCTGAACTTAAAACACTAGGAACTTAGGAACTACAGGTCTGAAATCTGAATGTGTTCTTGGTCCTAAATCAATCTTGTCACTCCTCTGAAAGCAATGCGAGATAATAAGTAGTATTCACCTGATTGCTTTCCTGCTTCGAGACAGCCAGTGACGCGCGTCTTCCTGATAACCAGGGGTTTCAGATCTGAGGCAGGGATAAAGGGAAGCTGGGAGCTCACGGAAGCTAAATTTGACAGTGGATGGCTGAGGAGAGGGTCAGAAGGGATGGAATCTGTGACACGTATGAGAAAGGAACAAAATCTATCTGTCTGCTCTGGTTGCAATGATGAGATGTCTCTCTGTCTGGCTTCCTTACAGTGGGTGAGTGATGGCACACTTCAGCTGGCTAATATCATAATTAACAAAGTTGTTTCTACACTGGTAAAGTTTAATCGGAAAATTTACCAGGGATATGATGGCATTGTCATGAAGATCACAAGGGACACAGGGACAAGGAGTCGACTTTTGCTCAAGGCTGAACGGCAAGATGAGAAACTGCAAACTTGGAAGGCAAAGGTATGTGTCTTATAATTTCACATCCTGGGTTTTCTTATTAAGATTTTTGTTTCATGTGGTGGGCTTTTTTGTTTCCCGACCAAAATGATTCATTAAAAAAAAAAAAAAGATCCATTATGTTTTTTAAGCATTTACAACATATTCTCTGAAAGCTTTGGGGGGTTTTCCCCCCAAATCCAGAAATACAGGAATAAAACTAAACAGCTTTTGATACTGAGAATGGAATATAAAACAATATTTTACCTCTTGTTATGTCTAGCTAATCTTTGTCCGTTTTCAGAATTACGATGGGGTCACAAATATTAATTGAACACTTATGTGTAGCACTGGATTTATTTTGTTCCGCAATGTAAAAGATGTTGTTTTATTTTGTGTGTCAACCCAGTTACAGCAAAGAAAAAAAAAAAAGGGCAACTGCGGTTATAGAATATGTAGATGTTCTATTTTAGTTTCAAGAGGTGCTCAAAGTGGGGGGCAGCGGGGTCTGGGTTTTGACTGAAATCATAAAGTGATTGAAGCTTTTTTACAACATTTATGAAGACGGGTATTCTTGACATTGTTGCTGCTCTCTGTCTGGCCTTTGATTGTTATACCTGTATTTTCATTTCACCAAGGTCTGTGAAATGATCTGCTTTGCTTGATTGAATATTCAAGCTCTGGGGTGTTTCCCAAATTATAGCCTTCACATATTGCTAATTAATGAGCATGCATATGGATGAGGAGAGGCATGTGTCTCTGTGAGTATATGCCTGAGCCCTTCATCCAAGTAAAAGAGGGAGGAGGGGTCTTAAAAAAAAACACACAGAGGGCAAGTTTGGGTCATTTATGCTGTGTCACACCACCACTGTAATATCATGGTGACCAATTTGCAATATTGGGGATATACATTGAAGTTCTTTTACCTTCCCTTTGCGCATCCAGGCTGAGATATCATGGCAAAAAGGAGTGAATAGTCCTTTGACCATTACAATTGTCTTTTGTGTCTTTTTTTAAATAGCAGTTTTTAAACCTTACATAATAGCATTTTGAAACACACTTAAGCATAGCATGTATGTTTTAAATCAGTTCATTTAAACTTTCTCATAGTTTTATTCCTAATCACAAGAGACCTGATTGACTCAATATATTGATTTTAAATTTTGACATCAAAATTTCCCATTCATAAAGTTCAAAAATGAATGATTTTATGGAATTAAAACCTTTAAGTGTCTGGATAGTATTAAATGTTGTGTATCAAACCTTGGTTTAAAATTTGTCTTGGCGTCTTTTCAGTCGTTCCTAAAATTTAATGACGCTGATGAGAAAAACTAAAAGTGGAAGCTTTGTTATTACATGGTGGATGTAATTTTCACAGGAGCATGTTATTTTCATGAAAGAGATTCCTTTTATAACTTGGATTCTTCTTCTACCCAGTATTGGTCATCAGGCAGTCAATATATATATATATATATATTCATCAAGTGAGTGAATTAATGATTTTAAGATTTCTACTGTGATTCAAATACGGTTAACATTTACTTTCTCCTAATCAATAACTTTTGTACACAGTAAACATCAGGGACAGAAACAAGCAGATGAATGGCAGTCACAGAGACACGGAGGATTAAGTTCCTAAAATAATATATTGTTTTTTTAAGCTAAACTTCCAGAATATTTTGTGTAACTGAGATTGGAGAGTTTTAGAACCCTGGTGGAGTATCAAAGGTCTATGAGGATTAAAAAGGGCCAAGAAATTCGTTCACAGCTAATGTCCCATTTTTAAAAAACAGGATTACCTCCTGAGATGTGTGGAAATGAACTCTTGTCAGAGTTTCAAAGGAATTAATATATATATATATATATATATATATATATATATATATTTGGTAAAATGTGCTAATGTAAAGAGTTAGAAGATTAGTGATGTTTAATGAATAGAATGCATTCTTTCTCATGGAAATGGGAATATAATAAGTGTCCTGTAGGTGATTGGGTTGTAGCAATTTTATTGAAGATTAAAGTTTGATTGACCTTTGTTAGGGTGATTAACCTTTCAGAAATTAAAAGCCAGATTGGAATTAGTCTGTCCAATTTAAATGCAAACATTGAGCAGATTCTGTGTCATTCAAATAATAATAATAAAAACCCTCCTATTTTAATTTTCATTTTTGCACGTCTGGTGATATGCTGCTTTAGAAGGACCATAGCTCTGACAAAGTGTCTCTGTGGCAGAGAATCTAGAAATAATGTGTATATTATTGGGAGCCTGTGGGGAGAAAGTCCCAAGAACCATTCCCCTACCCCATAAAACATCAAAACCATTCCCACTAGCTCTGCATAACTGGAAATACTTGCTCTCCAAACAAAAATGATCTAGGAATGTACTGAAGAGGTTAGGAATAAATAGCAATAACATCTCTATTCCAAACCAATGACAAAAACCTAAACTGAATATTATATCAATGTTAAATGTATACAATGGCTCCTGAAAAACGCATGTTTTATTGAAGTTGCTTATGAACCAGTACCTGAAAGTTGATTATTTCTGATGTCTGGAATTTTATTCCCCAGGATCTCTAATCATCTCTGGATGTATTCCCCTTTTTCGTTAGGTTCAAAAATTGTTAGAGGAGAAGCAAACTCTAATTATTTGCAATGGTACTTAATGGTTTAGTTTTATTTCTCTTTCTTAAATTATCTTGAAGCATTTGTGAAGAGTTTGCATATTCACATTGCTTCAAAAAACGGTTTTCATTTTTTCATATCATACTATTTTTTATTATTGCTAAGTCAGTGAATCTTTTTAGTTTTAGGTCCCACCACCCAGTGAATGCATCTTCCTTTCATGTGTCTATGAACTATTAAAATGGTAATAAAGATTCTCTTCATTCCATCTGTAATTTATTTCTCTCTCTTTTCATCAAAGAATTCGCTCTGAATGTGTCAAGGTAGAAAAGTCCAAGGTATTATAGTGTAAAAATTAAGAAGCCTGAGGTGCTATAGTTTATTTTTTTACATGAGCTTTTCATGTATGCTTTCAACATCCTTCTGAAAGATATAGGCTTCCTCTGTAGGCCTATAAGGAAAGTCAAAAGATGAAATACTTGGGAGAGAGAGACTGAAATTATACACACTTACCAAAGTGACTGGCATCCTCTAGAGAGCTGGATAATTCCTTGAAGCATAAATTAATAATATGTTTAACTAAGATCTATTTGCTATAAGGATAATTTCCTAATTCTTAATTGTGAGACAAGTATTCCTCATAAACTGTAAACAAATATGTTGTTCTGTACATTGTCTGATAAAGTAGAGGTCATCAGCTTTAGTTTTGGCATAGTGAATTGTCAAACTTTAAAAAATTCATTTGCTCCAATTGTTCTCTTAATAAAGTTAATCTTTACTAAGGAAAAAAAAAACAAACCCGTGACTGCTATATGCACTATTAACTGCATTTCATCTTTGATAAAAGCACTATTAATTCTTCAGATACAATTCAAGAATCTTCTCCAATTTAGAATAATCTTGTTCTACCTCTTATGAGAACTATTTAAAACGATTTTCAGTATGAACATTTGTTGCAACTCTAGCAACATTCTCTAAGCATAAAAAGCTAAAGTGCTAAACTACAGATAATCTCCTATACTATATCGTTATTAATTATCAGCATTCTTTTTCATAAAAGAGAATCATGTCTCTGGAAGGCGAAATTCATATTGTCTTAGTGCAGAAAGAAAAAATTGTTGGTGAAGAAGCAAAGGAAAATAAGATCGTATTTTGCCAAGTCCCAAATCTAATCATTTGTTTTGCTTCTGTGTGCTTTGAAGACATTTTTATTCCTTTATGTTGCCTTTGTCTTCTGGCAATTGGTTCCCCTCTAATCCACCCAATCCCAGACCTGACATTTCCCTTATTGTTGTGAAATAACATTTTTTGCCATTAATAAGCCAAGATTAATCTAATCCATTTGATATTTTCATGGACCACATATTTTGGCTGGAGTCCCTTTGTTTAAAAAACAAACTGTTTTTTTTTAAAGACCAATGATATCATTTTATTTATAGTATATTGTTTTATTTATTATGTATTGTGAGTCAGCAATTTAATTCCACAAAAATTTAGAGTATGCCTACCATGAGCAATTTTATTTTGCTGAACAAAAGAGAGATAGCAAGTAGAAGTCTTATGGATTTTCAGGGGTATTTTTCATAGGAAAAATAAATACTCACCTATAGTTTTTTTAAGATGTTATTCTATTTAACAGATAATAATTCTAGGAAAAAATATTTGCTTAGTATTGGCCAAGTGAATTTTTTCTTGTGATTTGTTTGATAAAGTCTTTCAAATAGTCTAGAAACGATAAATGTCCCAATGTTAACTTTTCGTCTTAACTGGGAAGGTTAGTTCCTAGTACTAGTTTTGAGTGAGTTGGAAGGTGGCCCACTGTGGTGTGGTGATGTGTGGCCTACTTGATATATCCTATGCTATTTATATTCAAATTATCACACCAAGCGTACACAGTATGGTGGTCCCTTGGTATCCATGGGGGATTGGTTCCAGGACCACCAGGGATACCAAAATCCATGGATGCTCAAGTCCTTTATATAAAATGGCATTATATTTGCATATAACCTACACTTTCTGTATACTTTAAATCATCTCTATATTACTTATAATACCTAAGACAAGTAGATGCTGCATAAATAGTTCTTATACTGTATTCTTCAGAGATTAAAGAAAAGAAAAAAGTCTATGCTTGTTTAGTACAGGCAAATATTTTTTCATTTTAAATATTTTCAATCCTTGGTTGGTTGAATCCATGTATACAAAACCTGTAGATACAGAGCACCAACTGTACTCTGCAATCTGGTGATGTGCTTCAAAACATATCCTTACTAAAGTGTCTTCAGCATTAGCATCTCTGCAGCCATCACTGACTGACCTGCCTCCAGCTTCAATAAGTTTTTATTGAGCACCTCCTATGTTCCATGTACTCCCTGAGACTAATGAGGTGGGTCTGT